GAATGAGATAAACTGAAAATAAACCTTCTCTTGACCTCATTGAAAGTAACTATTTAAAACAAAAAAAATTCATGGGGAACAGTACTGAATTTTCAGTAAAACTTTGGATTAGTTCCTATTGAAGCTGAAATATCTGTCTGTCTCTCATCTTTGTCTGTTCCTATCCCCTACAGCAACAGCTCAGCACATTCTTTCCCCCTCTGCCCTATAACCCTGTGAAAGATGGTCTTTGTGAGGGACTAGCCAGTACACAGCTACTCATCCGTTCCCTTGCTGAGTGCTGGACCAGTAGCTGGAATCAGCAGCTTGGTCCTTCTTCTTCCTGATGAAGACTCTGGTTTAGTACTATCAAAAGACAGAAAAGTGAATCGTGTTCTAGAAAGGCTGAAAAAAACATCCCCACTCTGTTCTTACTATGTCAGTGAAGTGATATCCTCTATGGCTACACAGAGGAAAGGGAGATCAGGTCTCTAAAATACACAATCCACTTGGGCTTTACCCTTCCCTCACACCTCAGCTGGAGAATTACTTAGGGGCACAGCACTGACACTTTTCTGTTCACATACTAGCAGAAAGTGCTGCACCCTGCCATGCTCCCAGGTATTTCCTACACGTGAGCAAGGCTGCATGACATCCCTTCAAGTACAGCTGGGAGTATGGAGTGCCATTAGAGCTGCCTCACAGCACCAAATCTGAGAGACCATCAGGATTTTTCTGTGCCACGTCAATTTGGGTTTTCACTCTAACTACTTCTAAAGGGCCATCTCTGCAGCTTTCCACAGTCTCCAAGGACTTCCTGGTTTGTTTGCTTTGTGGACTGTGAAGTGCTCTCGTGAGTGGTTGGGCAATATCCTGAGGTGCTTATCAGCTGCCTGCAGTCACTTGTGCCACTCCAAATGGGCCCAACCCTTCTCTCCTTGAAACATCACTGACCTGGGATAGCTCTATGAAAGTCAATGGTGTGAGTTATAACAGGGTTATTCATAAATGTCACTCTTGCGAACCAAAGAAGCATCCCCCTAACTGCATAACATCAACAAGTTCTCGGTCTTTCTGCAGCAGCAAATTCCACAGCCTGGCTCCCTGGGCTGTGCAGACATCTCCTACCTTATCAGCCATGCAGCAAGAGGAGGGTGAGGCAACCTGAACACCAGGAGAGCACTTAGCACTTCCACACCTCTTTCACAGGACCTGGAGCAAGCACAGGGAGACC